GGCGTCTGTTTCTAACAGAAGCCATGACTTCCAGGATCCATGATAAGGCCATCCCTTCAAACTTTAGGTCAGAATGGATCCTTTCCACTTTTTCTGCATCAAGTTGCTTTTGTCAGGGTATTTTGTCACAGAAATAGGAAAAAATAATTATTGGGACAAATTTGGTCCTCAGACTTTAAAAACAGAGAGCTTCACTTTGCCTTATATAAATAAATGGCAATTTAAATAAAATGCTAAAGACTAATAGTATACAATTAATGATTGGGGCCTAGAGAAAATCCCACCACCTCTTCAAAGCAGCATTATAGCACATTATAAAAGCACACTCTATGAACCTCTTCTACTGTAAGGAAAATCCATCTCTGGGACACTCTGCTCTGGTTAGTTTTTTGTTAACTTTTGGTACAACCCTGATTTATCTGAGAATAAGGATCCTCATCTAGTGAATTTTCAGATCAGATTGGCCTGTTGCTGTATCTGTAAGAGCCTGGCTATCTTGATTGATGATTTATATGAGTGGTCTCAGCCTACTGTGGGCGGTACTCCTAGGCAGATGAGTCTGGGATATGTTTAACAAACAATCAAACAAAAACAAAGTTGATCCTGACCAGACAGTGAGCCAGTAAGTAGCATTACTCAAGTTCCTGCTTCAACTTCCTACCTGACTTCCTCAAAGATGGACTATGGTCTGGAACTTTAAGATGAAATAAACCTTTTCCTCTCCAGGTTGCTTTTGGTCATGGTGTTTATTACAGGCACAAAAAGCAAACTGGAACAGAATCTTTATTCAATCTGCTCCTGACATTGGAAGGAAATTACAAAATTTTCATTGACATTCGAGATTCACACTGATGGCCTACTAAATATAATAAATTCTGTTTCCTGTAACTTTGATCTAAGGAGGAAGAGAAAGAACAAATTGAGACTACATCTACCAAAAAGAGAGGAAAAGGCACAGAGAACAGCTTGAGACTTCACAGGGTGTGCTGAGTAGTTTTTGTCACCTTAACATATACTAAAGTCCCCTGGGAAGAGGACACCTCACCTGAAGAATTGCCTCCATCAAATTGGCCTGTGAGCAAGGCTGTGCGATTTTCTTAATTGTTAATTGGTGAGAAGCGTACACTCCACTCTGGGCATTGCCATTTTCAGGCAGGTGGGCGTGGACTGCATAAACTCAGCTGAGCAAGACCCAGGAAGCAAGTCAGTAAGCAGTGCTCCTCCAGGTCTTGGCTTTAGCTCTTCCCTGCGCATTCCTGCCTTGAGGTCCTGCCCTAACTTGTATCAACCATGCTCTGTAACTTGTAAATGAAGGAAACACTTTCCTCTCCAAGTTGCTCTTAGTCTGCTGTTTGTCACAGCAGCAGAGACCAAAGCAGAGAGACCAAAAACCTCCCACTTGCTTCACTCCAAGGAAATCCAAACTTCCAGATCAGTGCTATGTCTGTTGGAAGGCAAATTATTAGAAAACTCTTATCTGAATATTGAGCATCATTCTAAGACTTCTTGCTTATCAATGAGGTGAAGACAGAATACTGGAGAGTTTACTGTCCCAAGGATCAAAAGCCCCTGAATTAGAACCCCAGGTATTGTCCTTGGAATGAGGAAGCTCTTGGCTCCAGTTGACTCCTCACTTGACCATCACAAGTGTGACAAAGTCTCACGTAAATCTTGAAGTCACAGGTAGGACCATGATTTTCTCCTTGATAGTGGAGCCTACAACTCTGCTCTTACCTTATATGCTGGACAGTTGGCCTCTACCTCTTATGTAATGTTTATCAGTAAGAGCCTCATGACAAAATGTCCACTGTGCCTTATGCTGTGTATGGAAGAGTTACTGTGCTGGCTAATTTTATGTCAACTTAACACAAACTAGAGTCATCTGAGAGAAGGAAACCTTAATTATGAAAATGCTACCATAAAATTGTGCTATAGGCAAGCCTGTAGGGCATTTTTTTAATTAGTGATTGATGGGGAAGGCCCAGCTCATTGTGGGTGGGGCCATCCCTGGCTGGTGGTCCTGGGTTCTATCAGAAAGCAGGCTGAGCAAGCCATGAGGAACACTAAGCAGCACTCTTCCATGGCCTCTACATCAGCTCCTGCCTCCATGTTCCTACTCTACTTGAGTCCCTGTCTTGACTCCTCCTGATGATAAAACTGTGGTGTGGAATCGTAAACCAAATAAATCCTTTCTTCCTCAAGAGGCTTTGGTCATGGTATCCATCATAGCAATAGTATCCCTAACTAAGACAGTTAATCTTGACCTGCTTTTTTCTAATAATGTCCAACTGTTCTCTACATTTATTGAAAAAAAATGGTGTTCTAACTTCTCTTCATTTCATAAATAATCCAGTAACTGCCATGATCATCACTCCTGGAGATAAACAATTCATTCCTTTCAGCCCTCTTCACTAACCCACAAGCATGGGCACCAACAGGCCAAAAGGGCAATCACAACCATTCAATTATTTAAAAAAATGGGAAATTCTTGTGCTTCTCCTAACCATAAATAATATTTTCTCTGCCTTAAAGTCCAAATAGAACTTTATCCCATAATCAGTAAACTGCTTTGTGTTGGACTTTTAAATCTCTGTCAACATCTTGTAATAGTGAGTTTATCTATTATAATCTTGGTATTAATAATATTAGTCTTTAGATATTATATACTTGAATGTCCGTTTAGTATAATTGACTTGCTTTCATAATCAATCAACCCTCAGCTGGTCATAGGGCATTCTTTTTTCCATAAATCTGGGTCTCTTCAATTGTCTCCCAAGCTTGAGTGAAGACATAAACTTTTCTATGACTCAATTAGTCAAAAGTAGCCAGACAGACCCAATTCCCATCTCCTATGGGATTTTATGAACTCAAACCTTGAGTGGGGATTGCTAGATAGCTAGTCAGTTATTAAGCAGCATAGAGGGCATGGAGGATGGGGCTTGTAGCTCATAATTAGAAACCTGAAAAAAATAGGAAATGAGACTAGAACTTTGACAATTGGTAAAAAAGAATGATATCTGATTCATATCTCTTGCCTGGAGTAGAGACATGCCATTCAAAAGTGTTTAAAAGATCATGCTATAACTATGTGACTACAGAGTTTCTTGTCAGGAACAAAGACATACCATTGTCCTCTCCTCTGAAAGTTAATCCAAGTGGACTTCTCAGTTACCTAAACACCCTCCCACCCTGGAAATCCATCTGTTTTGAAGACTTTAAGAAATAGTGCAGGGCTGGGTAAATAGTGGCTCAGTTGGTAAAGTACTTGCCGTATTAAACCAGACACACTGAACTGGACTGAAGAGGAAATAGAGAATAGCCTTGAAGACACTGGCACAGGAGACAACTTCCTGGACACACACAGGTACTAAGACTAACAATTAATAAATGGAACTTCATAAAATTGAGAAGCTTCTGGAAGGCAAAGGACATTATCAATAGGACACAACAGCAACCTACAGAATGGGAAAAGATTTTTCACCAAGTCCACATCAAGTAGAGGGCTAACATTAAAATATATAAAGAACTCAAGGAACCAGACATCAACAAACCATGTAATCCAATTAAAAATGGGATACAGATCTAAACAGAGAATTCTCAGTAGAGGAATTTCAAATGGCTAAGAAACACTTAAAGAAATGTTCAACATCCTTAGACATCAGGGAAACACAAATCAAAACTACTTTGAAATTCTATCTTACACTTGTCAGAATGGCTAAAATCAATAACACAAGTGATAACTCATGCTGGTTAGGATGTGGAGCAAGGGGAACACTTCTCCTTTGCTGGTAGGAATGCAAACTTATACAGCCACTATGGAAATCAATATGGTGGCTCCTCAGAAAATTGGAATTTATCTACCACTAGACCCAGCTATACAACTTGGGGACATATACTCAAAGGACACTCCATCATACCACAAGGACATTGCTCAACTATGTTCATATCAGCTTTATTCATAATAGCTAGAAACTGGAAACATCCCAGATGTCTCTCAACCAAAGAACAGATTTTTTTTTTTTTTTTTTTTTGGTTTTTCAAGACAGGGTTTCTCTGTGTAGCTTTGCGCCTTTCCTGGAACTCACTTGGTAGCCCAGGCTGGCCTCGAACTCACAGAGATCCACCTGCCTCTGCCTCCCGAGTGCTGGGATTAAAGGCGTGCGCCACCACCGCCCGGCTTCAAAGAACAGATTTTTAAATGTGATATATTTACAAAATTGAGTATTACTCAACTGTTAAAAAGATGACACTATGATATTTGCAGGCAAATAAATAGAACTGGAAAAAAATCATCCTGAGTGAGTTATCCCAGACCCAAAAATACAAATATACTATGTACTCACTTATAAGTAGATATTAATTGTTAAGTAAAGAATAATCATGCTACAATCCACAGACCCAGAAAGGCTAAGTAACAAGGAGGGCTCTAGGAAAGACATAAGGATCTCCCTGGGAAAGGGACATAGAATAAATTTTGTGTGCAGACGGGGTGCAGGTGGGTATGGGAACAGGGGAATCAGGTTGAGGAGGGAGGGAGAGGGAGATAGTACTAGGAGAGATGACTGAAATGGGGGGGGGCTTTTAGAGTGTGATGTGGAAACCTAGTACAGTGGAAACTTCCTACAACCTATGAGGATGACTCTATCAAGGACTCCTAGTAAAGGAGAACACAGAGCCTGAGCCAGGCAAGGCTCCCAGTGGTGAGACAACAACCCAGCCACAAAGCCCACACATTCCTGTCCTGAGTGTAAGTTGTGCTGTGGCAATAGTGGCCCAGCCTGTAGGAGTGGCCAACCAAAGACTGGTATAACTTGAAGCCCAAGGCATGAGAGGAAGTCCATGCCCAACACTGCCTGATTGCCCAGGAACCAGAAGCTGGATGTCTCAGAAACCTAGAGTAGAACAAAATGCAACTGACAAAAAAGAAAAGGCAATGAAATGGTTCCTAATGATGTTCTGCTATCCTTACAGATTGGTGGCAAGCCCAGCTGTCATCAGAGAGGCTTCATCCAGCAACTGATGGAAGCAGATGAAGAGACTCACGGCCAAACATTAGGCAGAAAGAGAGAGTCCAAATTGAAGGTCTCCATTGGGTCCCTCCTTCTGGAGCTCAAGGAACCCCAAGGAAGAAGGCAAGAGAGGATTGAGGAGCCAGAGGGGTTGAGGATACCAGGAAGCCATGGCCAACACAGTCAACTACGCAGGGCTCATAGGCTCCCAGAGACTGAAGTGCCAATCACAGAGCCTGCCTGGGTCTGAGGTAGGTCCTCTGCATACATGCTGTGGTTGTTTAGCTTTGAGTTTTGTGGGATTCCTAACAATGGGAGTGGAGGTGTCTCTGTCTCTTTTGCCTGTTTGTGGGACCCTTTTCCTCCTACTAGATTGCCTCACAGAGCCTTGATATGAGGGTTTGTGTCTAGTCTTATTGTATCTTGTTATATTGTGTTCACTTGATATCACTGGGAGGCCTTCTCTTTTCTCAAGGGAGAGGAACAGTGAATGGGGGGAGCACTGGAAGGAGTGGAGGAAGGAGAGCCTGTGGTTGGGAAGTGTCATATGAGAGAAAAAAAAGAAAGAATACAGGGCTGGGGAGATGGCTCAGTTGGTAAGGTGCTTGCCATATTAGATGTGAGGGCCTCAGTTTGGATCTCCAGAACTCACAGAAAGGCCAAACATGGTGTGTACACTGTAACCTCAGCTATGATGTGACAGTGCATACAAAGCTTCAGCTATGGTGAGATGGAAGACAGAGACAGACAGATTTCCTGAAGCTCAGTTTTCCAGCCAGCCCAGCTCAATAGGCAAAACTCTAGGCCAATAAGATATCCTGTCTCAAACAAAAGATGGAAAGTTTCTAGGGATTCACACCAAGGTTATTCTCTGACCTACACACACACACACACACACACACACACACACACACACACTCACAAACACATTGTTATGAATGTGCTATGTCAGACACAGAAATGAACATATTTGTATCTTTCTATAATGCCAGGATTTAGTGAGTAACAATCAATTCACAGTGTACAGTTGTTTCAATGGCATCAACTTGCTAGGTAATTGGACTTTCCTTGATAATACAGCCAATCTGCTTTTACAGAATTATTTGTGTGTGTGTGTGTGTGTGTGTGTGTGTGTGTGTGTGTGTGTGTGTGTACCTAAAGAGGCCAGAAGAGTTCATTTTATTCTCTGAAGTTAGAATTACAGGCAGTTGTGGGTGCTGGGAATATGTCCTCCGAAAAAACCAGAAAATGCTTTTAACCACTGACCTACCTCTCCACCTGCATTTTAGTCCAATCTTAATTACTATTATTAACTCTCCACCACACATCACACAGTAAATATGCTGTTACAGAATGGTTGAGGACACTGCCAAATTCAAGAGGTTTCGGAATGTAGGCTTATAGAAACACTAGTTAGATAAGGAAGCAACGGGGTAGGAGGGCAGGAGTTGGAAAAGCCATGACTGTGTGTCTCACAGGTTTGAGGGCAAAGCTGTAGAGTTGAGTCCAGCTGCAGAACCAAAGGGCAGGACTGCATCCAGATGAAGAAGCAGATGGATGGATGATGGATGGACAGACAGAGAGATGGATGATGGATGGATGATGGATGGACAGAGAGATGGATGGATGGATGGATGGATGGATGGATGGATGGATGGATGGATGGATGGATGGATGGATGGACGGACGGAGAGATGGATGGATGGATGGATGGCATGTCCAGATGAGTGAACAGGAGGCTGGAGTGTTGAGTAGGCTGTACCAAGAATGGGAACCAAGTTTGTCAGAAGTCCTGAGGACAGTCGGGGGGTCTCTGCCTGTTGATCCTTGATGCATACAACAGATGGTCAGATGACAGTTTGGTGAAGGCTATTGTAATTGTCCACCTCCTTATGAGGTCCAGGTGAAGAAGTTACACCCATTCTTTGGTATGTTATGTCCAAGAAATTCTGGAGCTTGCTTTCCCTGGTAGGATTTTAATATATATGTCCCTACAGCTTCACTTCCTTCTGGTAAATTTATACAGAATAAGTCACTTATCAGTCTGCATTGCATGGATAGTACTAGATAGATGGTGCACACATGTATCCACCTAGGTGCACAATTACCTCCCATCTTCAAAATAAAGTCAAAGGTACTTGAAAAATGGGATCTCTTAGAGCAAGACGCAGTCATAAAAGCTGCCGACTTATCCAATATGGAGTAACTTGGATCAGGGCACAGACTGTTCTCAACAAATATGCACTTCTTCATGGGGGGAAGGGGCCAAAAATTTAAAAAAAATATAAAGTTTATCTGAAAAATGAAGATTGATGCAATGGGCCCTTTGGCCACTGCCCATTCTCACCTGGAAGAGTGCTTCACTTCAGTGAATACCGCTTACCTTAAGCAATATCTTCCAAAGGTTTCATCGAATTCTTTCTATGGAAGGCAGGGGCACTGGGCAGCTGGGGGCAGGGGGCGACTGCAGTGAATCCCAGCAACAATCCAGGACCTCACACATTGAGAAAGCTTTCTCCTACTGGAGGAACCCCTTATATTTAATGTTGCAATTTCCAACATTTGGTACATTAAAATTGTTCCCTTAATAATGATAGCTGATTCCCAGTTAAATTTATTTTCCTCATCTCTCTCAAACAAGCAACTTATAAAGGCCTCAATTTAGCCTCGAGTGTGACAACTCAGATACAGGTGCGATGTAGCTTTTTCCTGTAGTCATTACACGACCATCATCTGCCATCATGGAGCAGAGGCCGCTTTGATCCTATGCTTGGCTGTGAAGTAAGCAGCATGACACAGCCATTGCTGTTGTGGTGGCGAAGGGATGGTGGGTGGATAGCCCAGTACTAGGGAAGGGAGGGTCACAATCGTTACCTGAGATTTCACGTGCCATTCCATCCTGACTCCCAACTCTGTGCTATGTCTAAGGGATATGGAAAATGAAAGATTAACTGAAGAAGGGACGCCCATGATGAAGCCTCCATGAGGATATCTACTATGACAGGGGTACCAGTCTTTGATACAGATGTTTCGGGCCACACGTGCCACTGTGAGTAACCCCTTATCAATGCTTTTGTAAATAAGTCCAATAAACTCACTAGCTTAATAAGCTAAGCTGTGTTAAATCATTGCTTGAATCTTCGCTGTTTAGTCTGGGGTTTATTCATGTCTTCCTAGGAAAAATATCACTACTTTTTCATTTAAAACAAATGAATTGGTGGTATTCAGAAACAAAGGTTTTTGTAAAACTTAATTACAGACCAGGTTCCTCATCCTGGTCTTTCTTCAGCTCTCTGGTCTTTGTGATCTCCATAGAAAGAATATAGATGAAACACAGTGAGCATAGTATAGGAGATGAGTGAGTGGGATTTATTTGAGTAAACCAGTCTCATTAATTGAGAGTGAACACTGGCTGATGGGACCATTGCCAGGGTTTATATTTTAAACAGGCTTTACAGTATTTTTAAAGTCTTGAGCAGAGGGAGGTGGATCTCTGTACATTTGATACCATCCTGGTCTACAGAGTGAGTTCCAGGCCAGCCAAGGATACACAGTAAGAACCTGTCTCAGTTCCTCAATTCTCTCTCTCTCTCTCTCTCTCTCTCTCTCTCTCTCTCTCTCTCTCTCTCTCTCTCTTTCTCAAGAAAACTAACATCTAAGCAATGACTAATGGATTCCACAGAATCATCCTCATGGCTGGGTAAATTATAATTTTGGGGTAGGAAGTACCGCGACAAAGTAGAGAACAGAACACTGGGGTGATAGATGGGATCAGAGTTAGAGAATACTTGCTAGGATTTCCATGTTCTGGTTTCCCTGAATAGATATTTGGGCAGAGATAGGTGGATAGTAACAGAAGAACTGACAGTGTACTAAGGAACAAATGTCCTCCAAGGCCACAGCTGGACAGTGGCCAGAGGTTGAGCAGGAGTGCTCTTTGAAGATTCTGGGTTTTTACATCCCAGGATCATGGACTTTGGGATTATTTGCATAGAACATACTTGTTTTTTTTTTTTTTTTCCTGATCATGTTGTCCCTTGTCACTCTTGGAGTACAAAGGTTGTCAGCCTTTCTCACTCTCCATAGTTTCTTTCACATTCTAATCTTTTGTTTGTTTGCTTTAACCAGGGTCTTATTGTGTAGCTTTGGCTGGCCTGGAACTCATTTTGTAGAACAGGCTGGCTTCAAACTCACAGAGAACTGACTGTCCCTGCCTCCCAAGTGCTGAGATTAAAGTGATGCACCACCATGCCCAGTTCACGCATGCCAGTCTCAATGCCCCACTCTTGCCATCTCTCCTGTCACACTGATGTAAAGACACTTCGTGGAGTGTCAAGGAGTAAGCTTGATAGTGTGAAATCAACACTTGGATGCCATGGGCTCTTCAGATGCTAACGGGGACATTATTTGGAACAAAAGATGACAAAGCAAAGGCAAGCCTGAAGTAACACGAGCCGGGGATATGGAGTGTATGCTACATAAACCCCTCCCTCTTTAATTTGCTTTTGGTTGGAATGCTTTATCAGAAACAGAAGAGAAGTACAAAAGAAGGGCTTGCCCGGACTTACAGTTTTAGGGAACACTGTCTATTGTGGTGGGAAAGACAGCAATAGGAACATGAGGACTGGTCACCATGTGTCCATAGTCGTGAGTCGGAGAGAGAAACCAATGCTGATGCTCATCAGGAGTCAAGCACTTCTGACAAATATCCCATAGATTGAGGCATTTGACCAAGACCTGGGTGGGAGCTTCCTCAGCTAAGCCTGGAGTTACTAACAAACAGTATTTATGATATGAACGCTTCCTATGTGTGTCTGTCCTGCTGAGTGAGTTCCTATGTGTGTCCGTGCTGCTGAGTAAGTTCCTATGTGTGTCCATCCTGCTGAGTGAGTTCCTATGTGTGTCCGTCCTGCTGTGTGAGTTCATGTGTGTCTGTCCTGATGAGTGAGTTCATGTGTGTGTCCATCCTGCTATGTGAGTTCCTATGTGTGTTCATCCTGCTGTGTGAGTTCCTATGTGTGTCTGTCCCGCTGTGTGAGTTCCTATGTGTGTTCATCCTGCTGTGTGAGTTCCTATGTGTGTCCATCCTGCTGTGTGAGTTCCTATGTGTGTCTGTCCTGCTGTGTGAGTTCCTATGTGTGTCCATCCTGCTGTGTGAGTTCATGTGTGTGTCCATCCTGCTGTGTGAGTTCCTATGTGTGTCCATCCTGCTGAGTGAGTTCATGTGTGTCCATCCTGCTGTGTGAGTTCCTATGTGTGTCCATTCTGCTGAGTGAGTTCCTATGTGTGTCCATTCTGCTGTGTGAGTTCATGTGTGTCCATCCTGCTGAGTGAGTTCCTATGTGTGTCCGTCCTGCTGAGTGAGTTCATGTGTGTGTCCATCCTGCTGAGTGAGTTCATGTGTGTCCATCCTCCTGAGTGAGTTCCTATGTGTGTCCATCCTGCTGAGTGAGTTCCTATGTGTGTCCATCCTGCTGAGTGAGTTCCTATGTGTGTCCATCCTGCTGAGTGAGTTCATGTGTGTCCATCCTGCTGTGTGAGTTCATGTGTGTGTCCATCCTGCTGTGTGAGTTCCTATGTGTGTCCGTCCTGCTGTGTGAGTTCCTATTGGTATTCCTCCTGCTGACTGAGTTCATGTGTGTCCATCCTGCTGTGTGAGTTCATGTGTGTCCATCCTGCTGTGTGAGTTCATATGTGTGTCCATCCTGCTGTGTGAGTTCATATGTGTGTCCATCCTGCTGTGTGAGTTCATGTGTGTGTCCATCCTGCTGAGTGAGTTCATGTGTGTCCATCCTGCTGTGTGAGTTCATATGTGTGTCTGTCCTGCTGTGTGAGTTCATAAGTGTGTCCGTCCTGCTGTGTGAGTTCATATGTGTGTCCGTCCTGCTTAGTGAATCCCTATGTGTGTCCATCCTGCTGTGTGAGTTCCTATGTGTGTCTGTCTGCTGAGTGAGTCCCTATGTGTGTCCATCCTGCTGTGTGAGTTCCTATGTGTGTCCATCCTGCTGTGTGAGTTCCTATGTGTGTCTGTCTGCTGAGTGAGTTCATGTGTGTCCATCCTGCTGTGTGAGTTCATATGTGTGTCCGTTCTGCTGTGTGAGTTCATATGTGTGTCCGTCCTGCTGTGTGAGTTCATATGTGTATCTGTCCTGTGGTATCTGGAAAGCTTTGTTTACTTGGTGTCCTACATAGCCTCTTGCTCTTAGAATATTTTTGCATCCTAAACCCTGAGGTAAGGTATCCCATGGGGTTCCCTAAGCCCTGAGGTAACAGACTGATGGATAAATCTTACTTAGGACTGAGTGTTCCAGGGTCTCTCACTCTGCACATTGTCTGGCTGTGGTCTCCTTATTTGTTCCAAGCTACTACAGGAGGAAGCTTCTCTGATGATGGTTGAGCAAAACATTGACCTAGGAATATAGCAGAATGCCATTACAAGTCATTTTATAGCTATGTTTTTTTAGTGGAACAGTAGTATTTGATTTGACATTCCTTTTTCCTATGGTAGCATGCTCAGTACCTTCTAGTACCATAAACAATATTCAGAGGGGTGAAGGCTCTGGGTAGGTGCGAGCTTGACTTCTCCCTGATCAATGAGTTTTATAGGTGTTGTCTTCTACAATTGTCTTCTGCAATAGGGCTGTTTCCTTGGGAGCCTCCCAGCTTGGCTCTGCATGGTCCTGGAAGCCCTGTTCTCTCTCTCTCTCTCTCTCTCTCTCTCTCTCTCTCTCTCTCTC